ATATATAAGCAGGTAAAGATTTTGTTATAGTAGAGGTTAATTAATTTAAGTTTATCTAACTTCAAATTTCAAGGATTAAAAATTGTTTATGATTTTTAGATCAGAATAATCATTTTTATACAATTTTAATTTATTAATGTAGAAGAAAGGAAAGTATTTTATTATTAATTTTATGTGGTGTTATTATTAAAAATCACATTAGTTATATATTTGATCATTTAATTATTTAAAAATTTAAAGATAAATATATCAATAACTAGATATTTTATGATAGATAGAAATATCTCCTATTTGTTTGAATTTTCTAAATTAAACCTAATAAATAGAAGCAAAATGATAAATATAATATTATTGTTAACTTAGTTAATTTGTAAAACAGTATTGATCACTAACTGAAATATTTATTTAAATTATTAATTTTAAATTTGATAAGGTAGATAACAAAAACAAAAATTTTTTTGAACAAAAAAGGAGTAAAATACAATTTATATAATTTAATTATACCGATATTCTCAAAAAAAAGTCTTATAATTTTAAAAAGTTTATAAAATTCATAATCAATAATTAGTAGTATTATTATCAATCAAATTTAAGTCTATTATTTTCTATTCAATCAATAAAAGTAATTATAATAATTATGAAGACCTTCTAATTGATTAACAAATAATACTGATATTAAACCTAAATTTAATTTTAAAGGCTATTATAAATATTAAATTTGATATTATTAATATTAGTATTCATTAATATTTGTACATAAAATAAATGATACTACTCATAGTAATCTTTGCAATAAAAAATTATGCTAATTAAGTATCTGATTAAGTGTTTTATTGAAATACAAGAGAAGGTGAACTTAATCAAAAAAAATAATTGATATCATTTTATAGTGGTTTATTTTATTGCAAAATGCATTCTATAAGTAATAAATGAATTTGAAGAAATTTTCAGAACAAAAGAGAATTGTAAATGATTGAAAATATTATTTTAAAATTAATATCAATGTAATCAAATAATATACATTTTAATGCTCTTTCTGATAATAATTAAGTAATTATAAATGAATGGAAAAAATTTAATGATTCAATAATTTGGATAATCAATTTAAATTAATTCTTCATATAATTGTTTAAAAATCAATTTTTCTGGAACAATTTATTGAATTTGATATAGCAATTATAATAAGTTCAACTATTTATGCGATAAGTTACTAAGAGATTCATTATAATCAAAATCTCCAGATTCTCAATTTTATTATAAATATAAGTTTAGCAAGAATGATATGATTAATCTTGCTTCTGTTAGTGGATTTTACAATTTTTAGACTTTCTCTTAATAATCAGTTATAATTCAATAAAAAAGGATTAATGGTATGACAGGGTAATTATTAAATTATAAGCTAACCATAAAGGAAATATATTATAATGTTTATTAATTAACTTGTTTTAATGCTAGTGAAATTAATAAGGTTTATTTATTCCAATAATTTTGTTAAAAAATTCTCTTACTAAAGAAGAACTATAATTTTTTATAGTTTAGAAACTATAAATATTCTCTTTTATTTACATCTATGGTGATGAATTTTATTAATTTAATAAATTATATTTAATTAGTATTTCTTTAAAGGCAAGTTCTTTAGTATGTTGCATGTAAGTACTTGAATGATAACCATAGTGTAATTAGTAATTCATCTCATACTTTTAAATAGAAATTCTCATAATTGATAGTAACATCTAATAGTATTATATTTTAATTTTAAAAAATAATAAATGAAAATACTTACTTTTAATTGTATAAATACCTTAAATTAACAATAAATAAAATTTTCAATAACTCTGAGTTTAACCTTATATCAATAGTTGTGATATATAATTATTTTCCTCCTAATTTTATATAAACAATATTAATGAAGTTATCATAATATCAATAGATAAAAATAGTTTTCCAATACTTATATTCTAAATTTAAGGTAATTTTATTATTAAATAAATTAATTAAACAAAATTATAATTGATAGAATCAAATATTTGCAATAATGAACAGAATTTTTGTGTTTAAGTTTTCAAGGTGTAAAATTTAAATAATTTTTCTTTGTAAAGAATCTTTAAAGTGTTAAATTTGATACTAGCATAATTATATAATCTGATAATTTTATTCTTCTATGTTACTTTTAAAACTCAGTTTTTAAAATATCTCATATCCAATGAATATATTGAAGATTTTCATTTGTTATCATTTTATTGATTTTTAATTATAATTATTGATTGAATAGTTGGATATCATTTGATTTTAATTTAATCGAGCTGACAAATAATATCAATATATCATCTGTCATCTTTAGTGAGAATTCAAAGATTTAGGAATTTTAATCGCATAAAAGTCAAGTATTTATTTTAAGATATGAAAAAATTATTTAATTATCTTATTGATGTCAATTATTATTATTTTATTTAATAGATGAAACTCATTTTTTAATTCTTCATTTTTATTGAATAATATTTTTGTAATGTAATGCAAATGTATTGTTTTTATCTATTTTTAATGCTTTATCAAACCATAATTCAGCTTCTTTTATCATATCAAGATGATATAGGCAGTGTCCTAAATTTTATATTTAAATTACCTTTTCTATTAATTGAATTCAGATGATTTTTATCAGTTTTTAATGCTCTTTCTATCAAAGCCAAACCTTCAGAGTAATTTTTCATTTTTGCTAAGCAAAATCCTAATAATAAAATTATTTTTTTACCTTTAGAAGAAAGAGAGTCAACATGATTTGGATTAATTATCAATGATTAACTATAAAATTCTATTGCTTTTTCATAATGTTCTTGTTACCTTAGACACTCTCCTAAAAATTTAATAAACTTTACCTAATCCCCAATAAGATTATACATTAAAACTATCTATATCCAATACTAAATCATAATGCTTCATAGATTTTTTATATTCACCCATTTCTCTTAAACAATCAGCTAAATAATTAGGGTTTGCAATACCTTTTAATAATAATGTTTCTTGATTGTTTACTATTGATTATTCCAGAAATTCTAATGCAATTTGATACTGTTCATTAGACATTAATTGTTTAACTAACTAAAAAATTTTTATACCTAATTTATAAAGTTCTTCTCTTTGATCATCTTCACTTTTTCTTATTATAAAAGATTGTAGATATTAATTTTGAAGAGAGTTTTCTAAAGTTTTTATAAATACTTAGGTAGACTCAGAAATAGAATTATCTATTTGTTCAATAGATTAATTAAAATCAAGTAAATTCTCAACAAGATTGTTCAGTTTATGTCCTTCTATTTAAAAAATATTTTCTAGGGGAATTAAATATTTTGTTTAAAACCCCTCTAATAACACATTAAATTGATTAATTATAGCATTCTTTTTTTATTCAAGATTATTCAGAAGGGCTTTACATTTTTAGTTTGACAATTTAAAAAAATTTGGTAAGTCAACTAATTTTATTTAATCGTTAATATGAGATAAATGCCTACCATTTTTAAGGCAATCAAAACAGGATAATCTGAACTCTTTACAAAATTAGTTGGTACATACAATCTCTATATTTGATGAGTGTCCAGGTATCGAGCATGAAATATTTATCATTTATAAAATAAAATACTTATATAATATAAAATTAGATATTCAGTTTTAAATATGGAAGAATTTTAATGTTATATTGTTTATTCTTTTGATTAAATTAATGTATTTCTCTAAACAATAATCTCAAAAATACCCAACTACTAGTATAATATATAATGTTATTAAAGAGATGCGAAAAGAATTTTTAAAATAAATAAATTTATCATATTAAGACTTATCAACCTATGATTATAAGCAGATTTTTTAAGAAATAACTTTGCAAGAAATGAGGCTTTCTTTTAGTATTTCTCATGTAAATAGTGATATAAATATGAATATTATACATCTATAAAAATTAATTCAGATACAATCCTTTTAATACAAGCATCCATAATAATTAAAATTGCAAAAAATTTTGAACTGATACCCATTCTTTGACTACACACTTAATTTCAATATATTCATCAATTTCAAATCAAATTTAAGTTTTTCAAAAATAAAAAAGCCATAAAATTTTATATTAACCTTCTTTTTTGTAAAAGTCTTTTGATATGATTTTTGATCCCAGGTAATCACCATCACATAAAGTACCATTTGTCACTAAAAACTATGTTTATTCTAATACACTTGATCAATTTTTGAAGAAGCATAAAATTTAATTTCTTAATATTCCATCAATTTTTGAAATGAGAATTTAATTAGAAGAATTAAATACTGAGTAAGTATTACTTGCATGTATCATCATATCCTTTTATATCTATTTATTTTTATCTGATGCACTGCACAGTTTGGCTTATGAAATAAATGTGAATAAACTTTGATCCCCATATTTAAAAAATAAATAAATTATTTTTAATAAATGATAATCTCAAACCTTCTTTTAGAACTTTTAGTTTTTGTTATATTTACCATTTTTAGTTATTTGAGGACTATCAAAAAAGTAAAATTAAATTATAATTTCTGCAAGAGAGCATTTGTTCCCATTTACATCTATAGATAATCCATAAACAATAGTAATTTGTTCATTAATGGCCTAGTAACAAAACCATGCTTTCTAATCTTAATGATCAACAAATTATATATATAAATTATTATTATACCAAAATTTTATAGTCTTCTTCAAACTATAAGATTTTAGATTAATTACCAACCAATTAGTATTTAATTAGTGATCTTTCAATGTATTTAGATATTTTGGGATTTTATAAGCAATTTTTGACCAGACTATTATAGAAGAATCTTCAGAATTTGAAATAACATGTTATGTATCCCTTCAAAGTTTGTAATAAAATAGTTATAAGCCTTAGTAATTGAATTAACTTGATAAATCCATCTACAAATTAGAATATTTTAATATCTGAAATCTCAGAATAAACTAAAAGTGTTCTAGTATGATTAAAATTTTTGTAGCACCATTATTCTTATTTAGAAGTCATATGAGATAAAAATTCCTACATATACTGTTAAATTTTGTCCATTTCCTCATTTCCTTTAAATAATATTTTTTATTAATTATTAAAACTCTCATAATTGCTTGGTTATCAATAACATTTTATTCTAATGCATATGAAAATAATCACTAATATTATCCAATCAGACACCACTAAATAGGTTAATTTTTAGAGTATCAATTTAAATTTAATAACATGTATCCCCTATTTTCCTTTATTTCTATCTATTATATATATTATCAATTTAATTATGTATATAATCAATTTATACAACATAATTATACACTAGGTTTTACTTCAAATTCATACAGTATATGGTAATAAAATCCTATTCAGAAAAATAATTATGAAGAGATATTTATGAAACTTTTTAGATTGTTATGATGGTCGTAAAAAGAATCATTACTTTATCATGAAGCCATTTTATTCTAAATCCATACAGATTTTCACAATATTTTTTTTTTAAATTTCTAATGTATTGGCCAATTAAAATAAATTAATTAATAGAAAGACTATTAAATTATCATGCTTTCAATAAATTTAATATTTATGTAAAAATATGTTTGTTGTAAAGAATTTGAAAAACATGAAAAACAAATAAATTGGCATTCTAAATTTGGTTTTGATCAATATTTTAATTCATCATTCTGACTTTAAATTCTAAATATGATAATATCTAAATGTTGCTGAACTAACTAGGGTTTGATAACATAAAATAATTTTCCCACTTATAATAATAATTGAAACATTAAGTAACTTAATTGAGTTTCAATTTAGTTTAGCAAAGGTTTTTATATCAAAAAAAACTCTATAAAGAAAGATTAATCACTTCAAATAAAATATAGAATAATTTTATATATATAATGTGAATGCAATAATAAAGCATTTATTATATATATTTATATTCTTAAATTTTCACCCCATCTTAATATTTACCAACATACATGGGTTATTCTGAATTGTTTTCATACAAATTCATCCATTTTTCAATCTATATTTCATTCCTGTTATGC